TGGATTGTGGCTGGCCTGGGGCATTTGGTGCAAAGGATAGTGTCTTAGAAGCCATTGGGCTTTCTGGGCTGCCTTCTTTCCAGAGACTCTGGAGCAGAAAGCCCCAAAAGCATGGCCTGGTCTCTGCTTCCCTTTGGCTAGGGGACAGCCTGGCCCTAAACCACAGAAGCTGGACACCACCGGAGCTGAGGTGCTGGTGCTGCCTGACTCGGAACCCTGCCACAGTCCTCTGCTGCCTTACGGTGCCTCTGCCTGTTTCTTCTTTAGGTTTCCTTTTGACTACTTGGTTGGTTGTTTCTGTGTAGAAAGAATACTGATTAGAAATTCTGGAAACTACAGAAAATCAAAGCAAGTAAAAATTACTTAGAGCTGGGTGTGGTGGCTCACACCTGTAGTCCCGGCTATTCAGGAGGCTGAGACGGGATGATTGCTTGAGCCCAGGAGATTGAGTCCAGCCTGAGCAACATAGTGAAACGCCATCTCTCTCTCCAGTTTTGTTTTTGTTTTTGTTTTTTTTTAGATGAAGTGTTGCTCTTCTCGCCCAGGCTGGAGTGCAATGGCATGATCTCAGCTCACTGCAACCTTCACCTCCCTGGTTCAAGTGAGTCTCCTGCCTCAGCCTCCCGAGTAGCTGGGATTACAGGCACCTGCCGCCACACCCGGCTAATTTTTTGTATTTTTAGTAGGGATGAGGTTTCACCATATTGGTTGGCCAGGCTGGTCTCAATCTCCTAAGCTTGGTAGCATGAGTGATCCACCTGCTGTGATCCACCTTCAGGTGATCCAACTGCTTCAGCCTCCCACAGTGCTGGGATTATATAGGCGTGAGACACTGTGCCCAGCTGAGACCCCATCTCTTATAAGAGAAGTCACTCCTAGAGATAACCACGGTCAGCATTTTTGTTTTTCTTTCTTTTCTTCTAGCTAGAGCTAGTACCTTCTCCCCTTAGCAACCTCCGCATGCTTAAATTGGGGTGGCAGAACCAGTGTTTGGCTCCGGTGGTCCTCAGAAAGGTGGCTTCCAGATGCCAGTGACTGCTGGTGAGTGCAGGCTGCTTCAGCATTTCCTGGCCAGCTGACAAGATATCAGGTGTTAGCCTGCCCTACTGGTCTGGCTGGTACTGTGTCATTACACCCTGCCCAGCTGAGGCATCCCTGGACACTGTCAGGCTGTGGGAGCCCCTAGAATGGCGGCCTGGGCCTGCTTTGTGTGAGCCTGTTGTCTTACTGTTTGTTTCTTGACTTTCCTTTCTAATCTCGATTCTTGTCTCCTTTTGGATTTTCTTGTTTTTCATCATTCCACTTTCTTCCTCTGTTAACTTGTTAATTGTATACTGTCTTCCCTTTCTTTTAGTAATTTCACAAGGGTAACAACATACATCCTTAACTTATCAAGGTCTAATAGAAAATAGTAGCATTTTTACCATTTCCTGTCAGTGCTAGGACCTTAAAACACTTTAAGGCTATTTGCCACTCTTTCTGCCTTTTGTACTATTGTTGCTGCATTTTAAATCCTCTAAATCATTATTACGATTTTATACAGTCAGTATTCACTTAAATTTACCTATGTATTTACCCCTTTCCCCCCTGCTTTTTTTTGAGACAGGGTCTTGCTCTGTCACCCAGGCTGGAGTGCAGTAGTGTGATCATAGCCCTCTGTAGCCTGGCTCCAACAATCCTCCTGCTTTAGCCTCCCAAGCTGGGATTATAGGTGCAAGCCACTGTATTTACCCTTTCTGAGGCATTTTATTTTTCCCTGAAATTCCATATTTCTGTCTGAAATCATTTTCTTTTTCTGTTTTTTTTTTTTTTTTTTTTTTTTGTGAGACGGAGTTTCACTCTTGTTACCCAGGCTGGAGTGCAATGGCACAATCTCGGCTCACCGCAACCTCCGCCCCCTGGGTTCAGGCAATTCTCCTGCCTCAGCCTCCTGAGTAGCTAGAATTACAGGCATGCGCCACCATGCCCAGCTAATTTTTATTTTTTTTATTTTTTTTTTTATTTTTAGTAGAGACGGGGTTTCACTATGTTGACCAGGATGGTCTCGATCTCTTGACCTTATGATCCGCCCGCCTCGGCTTCCCAAAGTGCTGGGATTACAGGCTTGAGCCTCTGCGCCCGGCGCTCTCTCTATATATACTGTGTGTGTGTGTGTGTATGTGTGTGTGTGTGTGTGTGTGTGTGTGTGTGTGTTTCTATTTTATTTTTAGTCTGCAGTCTAGGCTGGAGTGCAGTGGTGCGATCTTGGCTCACTGCAACCTTTGCCTTTCAGGTTCAAGCAATTCTCCTGCCTTAGCCTCCCAAATAGCCGAGATTACAGGTGTGTGCCACCACATCCTGCTAATTTTTATAATTTTAGTAGAGACAGGGTTTTGCCATGTTGGTCAGGCCTGGCTCAGACTCCCGACCTGAAGTGATCCACCTGCCTTAGCCTCTCAAAGTGCTGGACTTACAGGCATGAGCCACTGGGCCCAGCTGAAATAGATTTTTAAAAATATGTTTGCTGTCAGGTTTGTTAAGCTGCCTGTGATTTAACCTCCCTTTATAAGGGAGGTTAAATCTTGGGCCTGTGTTGGAAAGGCCAGGTCCCCAAGCCGAACCCCATGCTCCTTGACCTCTCCCAGAGACTCCTGCCCTTTGGTAGTGGTGGAATTTCAGGGGTGGGCAGTTAAGGGAGCATTAGGGAGGGAAAGTCACTTAGCTCTCCAAGGTAAGGGAACTGGAGGTCAGAGAGACTGCACCATTTTCACGCGGTCACACAACAGTGGCTGCACATCAGATTAGCTCTCCAACAGTGAGTCTGGGGAGGGTGTGATGGAGCTGGATGCACCCAGCACAGCCTTAGTGTTTCTAAATGTGGAAACTGAGGTGCAGAATGGGACCTTCCCATAGTGTTTGGGACCTTGGTGTTCTTGGCTGCTTGGCCAGTGCTCTGGCAGGGCACAGTGGGTGCAAGGCTCTGCTCCCACCTCTTGCTTCTGGCTTCATCCTCTTGTCAGCCTTCTGCAGCCTTGGGCAGCGGGTGGGGCTGGAGGCATGGGTGCCTGTTGCTGCTGTGAGCTCTGGGTAAGTTCCCTCTGGCCTCTCCTCTGTCCTACTGATTTCTCACAAAACTTTGGAGACAGTTTCTGAAAGTGACAGTTCTTTTTCTTACTAATCCCTGCAGTTTTCTTCCCACACCCAGTTTCTCTTCCTCAATTTCTCCCCACCCTGTTGTGAACGAAAACCTTTGCACCCAGTCATGCCCCACTTTGTCTCCCTGTACCTGACCTGACATGTACCCCCAGCCCAAGGCAAGCGTTCAAGGATGGGAGACAGGGTGGGGTGTCTCTGCTCCTTAGAGGAAGCAGGTTCTGGGAGTGCAGGTGGGCTTCCTCCACACAGATGATGCTGGTACTGCCCCACCCCGCCGTCCCCTAGTGGTTCAGCCCAGCCCCAAGGCTGCAGGCCCAGGGGCCCTGGCAGGAGGGAAAGAGATGGTAAGTGAGCTTGGGGCAGGAAGCAGGTGGAGCTCTTGAATAGGAGAATGAATGGCATCTGAAAACCCCTGAGTCCAAAGCACCACTGCTAGCTAGCTGTGTGGTCGCAGACACCCACTGCCTTGCCTCCGGGAAAGCTTGCTTTCACAGGGCCTTAGGAAGTCAGCAGCACTTTTACCTGGTCCAGGTAGAGGACTCGGGAGATGGAGACTGTGGGAGGCCTGCTGGGAAGTTGTTTCCTGCCTTAGAGGCCCAGGACTTTACTGAGAGACCAGCGGTCAAGAACCGAAAGAGGTACTGAGGAAGGAGAAGGACCCGCGGCCTAGTCTCACCTGGCCAGCATCTGAGGGGCCACTCCTTTATCCCCCAGGGTTAGGAGTCTGTCCCACTGCCTCTGCCTTGCCTTTCTTAGACCCAGCAGCCCCCAGGACCTCTCGCCCTGCGGAGTTGCCAGGGGCGCCTCTTCCCGGGAGCCTGCTTCTGTATGTGTGTGGGGCTGGAATTTGATGAGCCCCTGAGCCAGAGAGGACCCCAATGAGTTCTTGGCTCAGCCACCCTTGCCTGAAAAGACCGAGGCGGGAAGAAAATAAAAACATGGTAACTAGCCGCAGCTGCTGCTGGGCGATTCTGGCCCCTGTGGCTCCCCTCTCTTCACAGAGGCTTTGGGGGCTGTGTAGTTCTCAGTGCTGTCCAGGTGGACTGTGGCCTTCCCAGCCTTGCACCTGGCCATGCCTGTTTTCACAGTCCTCACGGGCCACTCCCAGCAGTCCTGTCATGTGCTTTGTGCCTTGACCCTGTCCACATCCTCTGCAGGCCCAGGTGCTGCCTCCTCCTGGAGTCCCTCCCCTTCACATTCCCACGGCTGTAGGCAGCCGCGCCCCTCTGGAGCTCCCCAGCACTTGCTTGCCTGTCCATGTGTCACTCCTCCTCACTCACTGCCACGTGCCCCTGGTGCAGCACACCCAGATGCTTTTCTTTAAGCAGTTGAGATGTACTTGGTGGCATAAGCCCCAGGGCAGGAAGGCTCTGAAGAAGACCAGACTTGGGGAACTCGTGGGTGGCCACTGACCTCTTTTAGGAATCACTCAGCCCAGGGGCTTTAGCCCTGGCTGGGAGTCATACCTTGCCTTGAGCTCAGATGTGCAGCCACTGCTATGTGATCTTATGAAAAGGGTGCAGTCTCTCTGACCTCCAGTCCCCTTAGCTGTCAAATGGGATGATCCAGGAGAGACACCCTGTGGATGCTCCCTAGGCCTCCTCGGCCCAGCTCTGGAAGAGAACCATACTCCAACAGAGTAGACAGGGCCTCTGGAGGGCAGCCATTCCCGCTAAGTGGCAGGGTACGGTGCCAAGGGGCCTGCCCGATGACACTCTGTTCTGTGCTTTTCCTCCTCACCAGGCCGTCTCCGGAGAGCGCGGAGGAAAGTCGGGAAGTCACGGGCTGTGCAAGTTGTATGGGTGAGTGACTGAGACCATGTCACATATTGACTTCGTCTTTGCTTGTTCTCTCTGTCCTTGCAGGGAACTTAGACTGCGGAACTATGTCCCAGAGGATGAGGACCTGAAGAAAAGGAGGGTGCCCCAGGCCAAACCAGTTGCAGGTGAGCGGGCTGCCTCCCTCCACCTCTGCTCCCTGGCTCTGTCAGCTGCCCTCCGCCTCGGCAGGCTTTGCTCTCTTATCAGAGAATAACCAGCAGTACCAGGACAGGAGTTGGGCCTGCAGGCAGGACCCTTTGTCACCGTGTCATGGCAGATACACACATAGTTGGCCTTTGGTGGCAGCAGAGGCTGTCTGGGCACCGAGGAGGCCTCTTACGTCTTCTCAGTCCTGCTCACGTCCTGAGGCCGAGGCCTACCAGGGATCTGAGTGGGGTCTGAAAGAAGCCACATGCTCTCTCCTGGGCTGAGAAGCGGATGTGGTCATGGAGCCCGTTGAGCAGCAGGGCAGGGTGATGGGTCCTGTGGGCCCTTGGTGGGTCAGAGACGGGCCAGTCATTCAGCCATGCATAGCAGTGGACAGGCAATGTGGAGCACTGAGGCAGGGGAGAGGGCCTGGGACTTGCCTAGTCTCTTGCCGTGGCATGGGAGCAGCATAGCCACCAGGAGCTCTGGGCGTCCACATATGCCAGGAAGCTTCTTGGTCTTGTGGATCCCTGGGTCCTTGCCCAGAGGGTACTCATTTTAATTCTTTACATTAGTGGGTTTTTGTTTGTTTTTGAGATGGAGTCTCGCTCTGTCACCTAGGCTGGAGTTCAGTGGCATAATCTCAGCTCACTGTAACCTCAGCCTCCTGAGAAGCTCAGATTATAGGTGCACGCCACCACACCTGGCTAATTTTTGTGCTTTTAGTAGAGACAGGGTTTCACTGTGTGGCCAGGCTGGTCTCACACTCCTGATCTCAAGTGATCCTCCCACCTTGGCCTCCTGAAGTGCTGATTCCAGGTGTGAGCCACCGTGCCTGGCCTTGTTATTGACTTTCTTTTAATTGGACAAGTAATGAGTGAATAAATACATTTATCTTGGTAAAAAATAAAGTGTTGCCTGTTCGGTCACATTCTTGTCTCCTTCCCCATCTCTTTCATCCGTGAAATCCAGACACATCCCTGTGATTTGCTTTGTGTTTTGGGCCCCACCTGGTAGGGTAATGGTGCAGTGGGGGATAGTAGGCAGGACAGAGGAGGGTGAGGAACTGGCTCCGCGCCTCAGGTCAGGGGCAGCCCTCAGCTCTCATCTGTGTCTGGAGGGAGGTGAGGCAGAGCAGGAAGGGCACTCATGGGCTAACTGGGTGCCAGGGGCTGGAGGAAGCCCACAGAGCCCAGAGTTGCTAGTGCTTCTGCATTTGTCCCCAAGGGGCAGGACCCTCCTGGTCAGACCTCTCAGAGGCCCACTGTGCTGGCAGCAGCTTGGAGGAGCTGGGAGGTGCCTGTGCCCTGGTCTTAGGAGCACATACCTGAGGTGGGATGGAGGAAAAGCCACCTGTGGCTCTGGCTAGGCCGGGACCCAGAGGACATCCTCAGAGCCCAGGAGCCCTGGGATGATGTGAGAAGCTGGTCCTCACTTTGTATGTATCCAGGCGGCGCTTGCCAGTGTCCATGCTTCCTGACTGACTGGGTGGTTGCCTCCTGCTGTCCCATTCTCGGCCATGGGGATTGCCTTCATCTTGGGAAACCCAGGCCCCTTCTCCAGAGCTGCCGTTGCAGGGTCTTCACCTCTGGCTGGTTGGGGGCCATGGAGAGGTGGGAGCAAGGAAGCCTGGGGTCCCATCTCTCGTTGGGGGCCACAGCAGGCAGTGTCCCTGCAGAGTGGCAGCGCCTTTCTCACAGGCCTCCTCTATTGTCTTGCACCCTCTAGTGGAAGAGAAGGTGAAGGAGCAACTGGAGGCCGCCAAGCCCGAGCCTGTCATTGAGGAGGTGGTGAGTGCCCGGGCTGCCCTGGCCTCCTTGCTGCTTGTGTGTGTCCTGTTTCTCTTCCCCACCTGCCCTCCCGCTGCCCCCTTCCTTCTCGTCGCTTCGTTATTCCCTTGCCACCTGCCTCTTTGTCCTTGTCCCTCTCCTTCCTCCTCCTCTTTCTCCCATCTCTCTCCCTCTCTAGCCTGCCTTCCCCCTTCCCCTGGGGCAGCCTCTCCGTCCTGATATGTGTCTCCTCCCTCTCCAGGATCTGGCCAACCTCGCTCCTCGGAAGCCTGACTGGTGAGTGTCGCCTGTGCGGGGCTGGTATAGGCCGACTTGGGGGCTCTTGGTGCCAGCGCGGGCCTGGGGCTTGGCTCTTTCCATCCACACGGTGCGGAGACTGGCAGTACTGACACAGAGTTACATGAGCTGGCCACTGTTGGGAACCAGTGCTGAGGAGGACATACGTGGTGGGATGAGAGGGGAGTGATGGAGAGGGGCTCAGGCACGGGAAGCGGTAGGCTCCTGACGAAGGCCCTTCTGAGCGGCTGAGAACCATCTGCTCCAGAGCGCCCATCTGAACAAGGCCAACTGCTATCCTTGAGGGCCAGGGGTGGAAGGAAGGGCAGACACAGTTCAGTTTTCTCTTCCTGTTCTACAACCACAGCGTGTTCCCTCTGGCTGTGGTTCCCTCCTCTCTGAAACAGGTCGTCATCCTTCTTGCTATCCTGAGACAGAGTAGCAGAGGGTGCTGTGGGCTGGGAGACTTGTGTCTGTCTTCACCTTGAGCTGGAAGTAGGGCTGTATCCCTCTCACCTGATTCAGGGTCGAGTCACCAGCTGAGGTCGTTTTAATTTGATGAAACAAAAGCCTATGTCCTGGGAAACGCAGAGCCAGAGAGAATGGACTGTGCACTTCTGGATACCCACAGTCGAGGGGCTGGGCCTGTGGCTGGAGGAGGAGCAGGGCTCACCGTGGGCCAGAGCAAGTCACCCCCTGATAGTGACCAGAGGACCAGACCAAGAGAGGGTCCCTGAGAAACCATCCATCTTGGCATGCCTTGTTACAGCCCCTTGTGTTGGGTGGGTCTGTGGTGCTAGTCCCCCTGCCTCAGTGGGACGGGGAAGGATGGTTTTTGCTAGGTTTCGGAGGGTATAGAAGGGGAATGTCCTGGCCTCTTCCCCAGGGCAGCCCCCTCAAGCAACCAAGCATGACTCAATGCCAGAGGGCTGCAAGAGGGGAGGAGGGGGCCCAAGACCACATCAGGCCAGCCTTCAGCCTTCTGCTTCTCCGTGCCTCCTGCTCCAGGGACCTCAAGAGAGATGTGGCCAAGAAGCTGGAGAAACTAAAAAAGAGGACTCAGAGGGCCATTGCCGAGCTGATCCGTAAGTGCAGGGCCTGGCAAGGTGGGGTCCTGCCCTCTGGGTGGTGATCCAAGCACAGGGCTCCTCCCCACTACTCTGTCTGCCATCCATCCCAGGTGAAAGACTGAAAGGTCAGGAAGACAGTCTAGCCTCTGCAGTGGACGCTGCCACCGAACAGAAGGCCTGTGACTCTGATTGAGGCATGCCCTGCCCTGCCATGCGCCTGTCAGGCCTGTCCTGCAGGGGTGGTCTTGGGCAGGGATTGGAGCGAGGCTTGCCATCGCCTCCAGTTTGGCTTCTGAGCAGACTCCCTGTCAAGTCTGAAACCCCCATGGGTGAGGTCAGCTCCTTGTCTCCTGAGTGGCCCCTGCCATTCTAAATGGAGGCAGAACAGCAGCAGCTCTGGGTGTGCCTGTGTCTGTACATGTGTATGTATATATGTCTGTATAGATGTATGTATTCTGAACTTTGAAAAAAAATCTCTGGAAATAGACAAGAAAACCCCTGTGTGTGGCAGAAATCTGTCATGTATTTCCTAGGTCTTGGGGTACTGTGGATTTGGGCTCCATTACAGGGTGACTGCAGAGGTGGTACTTAGTATGAATAACCCCTGTGTTGGGCTGGGCATGTTAAGGCTGGAGGGGTGGGGAACGCTCAGCGCTGCCTTCTGCATCCAAGTTCCTGGCCCAGTCCATGGTCAGTGGGGTCATCTCAAGATCCTTGGGTGATAGAGACAGGGTCTGAGAGAGTTCTTTTAAGAGCTCCCCCAGGCCTAGGCCTTGTAGTAGTCTGTGGAGTAGCTGGAGAGACTCTCTCTGGGATCATCTCATAGTGTGAGAGAGACTGGGCCTTGGCAAACCCCAACTCAGGGCCACTCCAGATTTGAGGCTGCTGGCACTGTGTTCCCCACTCTGCCCAGCCCCAGGCAGCCCCTCTCCCTGCTCCACCAGTCAGAGCTAGACTACGGCTCCCCTGGGACAGAGCCCTTGCATGGGAGGGGTGGCCCATTCTGCTAGAGACGGGGATGTTGTAGGCTGGGTTTCAGGTGTGGTCATGGACCTTAGATCCCCAGGGTTCTGGCTTTAGGACATGAGCCCCTTCTGGGGAGCAGACTCTCCAGGGTAACTGGCTGGCTGTATCATCTCTGACTGCAGGACTTGTGGCCAACTAGACTTGCATCTCCTCCAGGTTGGTTACACCCTTGAGTTTCCTTTGGGATTTCCCCTTGAGCCCCCTGCCTCTGCCCTAAGCCATTCAGGGTGTTCTTCCTCTCCTGTTCCAGAAACACAATGGCCCGTTTCTGGCAGACAGTGCCAAGCACTCTGGTCATAGAGGCAGAGTGGGTTTGTGCACACAGAGACAAGCACACTCACACAACCAGTGAAAAACCCTTTAAGTTAAAATTAGCAACTATTCTTGGAAGGTAATTCCTGTGTGGAAAAGGAACAGAAACTTCTAGCTGTGGGTGAGGGCTAAAGTGGTAGGTGGCCAGCTTCTGCACTGAGTAGTAAGACAAGACCAAGACACTGACTCCCACGTGGGGCAGAAGCCTTCCCAGTACTTCCTAGGTCCAGGGGTACATGGAGGACTGGAGCCAGGCTCCCTCTATCCAGTTGGTAAAACTGAAGCCAGACTTCTTTTCCTACGTAAAAAAGGGTGAAAAGACTCCCTGCATCTCCTGGGATTGCAGTTGGAAACAGGATGCGTGTCTGCAGCAGTGGAAAGACTTGCACACCCAGTGACTGGCAGCTAGGCTGCCACTCAGCACCAGCTCTGGGACTAGAGTAGGGTTATCCAGCAGCGCGACAGTCCCGAGAGCTAATGAAACGTGTGCTTCTGATTTTATGACCCTGAATGTTGTCCTGTAAGGAAAAACAGAAAGTACCATGCATCGTGCACACTCAAACAAAAATTACAAAATACATGAGAAAATCCAGTGTCTTAAAGAATGACCAGTATCCCAAGTGGGAGGATTTATACCCAAGGAAACTGAAATAGTAACAGCTTAAAAGGCTTTAAAAATGAGCATTTGTTTTTGTATCAGAGAGATAAAAGAGGGTCTGGTACCCTTAAGAACAAAGGTTAGACGTAAGAAAGAACCGATTAGAAATCTTGGAAAGAAAGAATATAGCTCTTAAAACAAGAAACTTACTAGAGAGCTAAGTATTAAAGTCCAAGAAAGGATTAGTAAATTGGAAGTTAAAGCTGAGATGGTCATATAGCAGGTGGCAGTGAGAAAGAAGGCAAGATGAAAGGTAGCTTGAGAACCTTGCCATACTGATACATGTTCTGTAGACGACAGGAGTTCCAAGAAAAGAAAACCAGAGAAAGAAGGTAGCTGAAGAAAGAATGGCCAACCACTTCTTTTTTTTTTTTTTTTCTTAAGCAATAAGATACTTTGAGAGAGACCACATTCATATAACTTTAATTACTGTATATTGTTATAATGGTTTTCTCAGTTATTGTTAACTTGTTACTATGCCTAATTTATAAATTAAATTTTATCATAGGTATTTATGTGTAAGAGAAAACACAGTATTTATAGGGTTCGGTACTTGCCACCATTTCAGGCATCCACTGGGGGTCTTGGAACATGCCCCCCATGGATAAGGAATGACTATATAGCACTATAATATATTATGGCAATTAAAATCCTGTATCTGTGAATTAGACAAAGGCGAAGAAACAATTAGTGATTGGGAAACTAGATCTGAAGTTTTCTAAAATGCAGCCCAGCAAGATAAACAGATCAGTAATGTAAAGCAAGAGATTGAGAGATGTGGAGAATAGAATGAAAAGATCCAACATAAAGTGATGGATTTCCAAGAGGGAAAAAAAAAAGTGAAAATGAGGCAGAGGCAATGTTTAACAACAGTGGCTGAGAACGTTAGAACTTCGGAAAATCACCAATTCACAGATTCAAGAAGACCAGCAAGTCTCAAGCAGGTTAATAGGAAAAAATATACATCCAAATGTTCTGTTTCTTCATCTGGGTGATGATTAACTAGGTATTATATTCATTGAGCTGTATACATATGTTTTATGCACTTTTCGTATGTTTATTCTAACTCAGCAAATTTACTTAAAAAACCACACTTTTTATTAATCATCAGTTGCTACACATAAATTACCCAAAACTCAGGGGCTTAAAGTAATAAACACTTACTACCTCAGTTTTTGTAGGCCAGGAATCAGGAGTGGCTTAGCTGGGTAGGTGTAGTGTGGGGTCAGTTGTGAAGCTGCACTCATCTGAAGGCTGGACTGGGACTAGAGGATCTGTTTGCAAGATGACTTGTGGGGCTATTGAGTGGAAGCCCCTGTGCATTGCCACGTGGACTTCTTCATCGGCCCGAGTGTTCTCAAGACATGGCTGGTGGCTTTCCCAGAGTGGCAATCCAAGAGACAAAGCTTCAGATCTTATGATCTGGTCTTGGAAGTGATAGTCTGCCACATTCTGTTTGCTAGAAGCAAGTCACTACACCCAGCCCACACCTAAAGGTGAGGAATTAGGTTCCACTTCCTGAAGGGGGGACCATCTAAGAATTTGTGGACTTCTTTTAAAACTACCATATACGGGCCGGGCGCGGTGGCTCAAGCCTGTAATCCCAGCACTTTGGGAGGCCGAGGTGGGTGGATCACAAGGTCAAGAGATCGAGGCCATTCTGGTCAACATGGTAAAACCCCGTCTCTACTAAAAATACAAAAAAATTAGCTGGGCATGGTGGCACGTGCCTGTAATCCCAGCTACTCAGGAGGCTGAGGCAGGAGAATTGGCTTGAACCCAGGAGGCAGAGGTTGCGGTGAGCCGAGATTGCGCCATTGCACTCCAGCCTGGGTAACAAGAGCGAAACTCCGTCTCAAAAAAAAAAACAAAAAAAAAACTACCACCACATACGTAATCACATTGTAATAACATTAAAGAGTACAGAGACCAAGAAAATACCTTAAAATCGGAGAGAAAAGACATACTACCTTTCAAGGAGCAACACAGCAGCAGATGTCTCAGCTGTAACCAATATTAACAGGAATGAGAGAAAATTGTCATCCTAGAATTGCATACTCAGAGAAACGATGAGATGTGGTTTTTGTTTTTTATAGAGATGGGGTCTCACTATGTTGCCCAGGGTGATGTTGAACTTCTGAGCTCAAGTGATCTGCCCACCTCGACCTCCCAAAGTGCTGGGATTACAGGCATGAGCCACTGCACCACACCTGAGATGTTTTTAGACCCACAAGGTCAGGAATTCTGTCACCAGCAGAGTCTCACTAAATGAAAATCTATTTTGGGGTAATGAAAATGTTCTAAAAGTGATTGTGATTGCACAATTCTCTGAATATGCCAAGGGCCATTGAATTGTACCCTTTTTTTTTTTTTTTTTTTTTTTTTTTGAGACTGTGTTTCGCCCTTGTTACCCAGGCTGGAGTGCAATGGCGCGATCTCGGCTCACCGCAACCTCCGCCTCCAGGGCTCAGGCAATTCTCCTGCCTCAGCCTCCTGAGTAGCTGGGATTACAGGCACGTGCCACCATGCCCAGCTAATTTTTTGCACTTTTAGTAGAGACGGGGTTTCACCATGTTGACCAGGATGGTCTCGATCTCTCGACCTCGTGATCCACCCGCCTTGGCCTCCCAAAGTGCTGGGATTACAGGCTTGAGCCACCGCGCCCGGCGAATTGTACCCTTTAGTGGGTGAACTGTATATGTATAAAGCCGTTTGTTTGTTTGTTTGTTTGTTTGTTTTTGAGACGGAGTTTCGCTCTTGTTGCCCAGGCTGGAGTGCAATGGCGCGATCTCGGCTCACCGCAACCTCCGCCTCCTGGGTTCAGGCAATTCTCCTGCCTCAGCCTCCTGAGTAGCTGGGATTACAGGCACACGCCACCATGCCCAGCTAATTTTTTTTTTTTTTAGTATTTTTAGTAGAGATGGGGTTTCACCATGTTGACCAGGATGGTCTCGATCTCTCGACCTCGTGATCCACCCGCCTCGGCCTCCCAAAGTGCTGGGATTACAGGTTTGAGCCACCGCGCCCGGCCTTGTTTGTTCTTTAAATAAGCATTCTCCTTTGAAAAAAATCATAAAGGATATTTTCAGACTGAGGGTCACAATCCCAGATGGAAAGTCCAGAGAAAGAAAGTATAAATGTAAATAAGCACTGACCTTATAAAACAAGACTGTTGTGAGGTAAAGCAAGGGCTATTTAGAATACGTAACAGTGGTATGTAAGTTCAGAGGTAGGTGGTTAGGGTTACAGTTCTTGAAGATGAAGAAGCTCACTCAGGAAGAGAGATAAGACTGGGAAACAGGCCGGCTGACATTTCAGCGTTTCAGGGTAACCTGAAAAGAGTAGAAACAGCATACTACTTTTAGAAGAGATGAGAAAATAAAAAAAAAAAAAAAAATAAGAAAAAAGTAACGATCCAAAGGAAAGCAGAGAGAAAAGGTAGATTGAGTAGTTGAATCCAAATATATCAGTAATGGCAAGGTATTAGACTGCTTTTCTTTCTTTTTTTTTCTTT